ATGGGCCATTGGATCGGGTCCCAGTGGCTTAATGGTATACGAGCTCGCCTTGTAACCAGAAGGTCCTGGGTTCGAATCCCGGTGGATGCGTACTGATGAAGAGTCCCAAACCGGGACCAAACAGCTGTCCAGTATTCCCTGCAGGTTTTCCAATGGTTCTCTAACTAATGTCAGCTCATGATGAAAATCCTGTAACCAATCAAATCCCTACAAACCAACACTTGAATAACAACAAGAACAGTTTGCAACGCGAAAAAGGGAGGATATTCAAATAATAATAATAATAATAATAATAATAATAATAATAATAATAATAATAATAATCCACTACCAGGACAAATAACACAATATAACCTCAAAAAAGTGTAGAAGTATAGAGTCATAGACCACAAATATATTTTTAAAGCATGATGAAGCACAATTATTTGTGTAACTAACTAATGAATAACACATGCAAGCATATAAAAGATAATAGAGAATTCATGTGACACCACACAGACGAACAAAAGAATATGCATCGAAAGACACAATCAGGTGACCCTTTTTTCTTTAACATAAGACGAAATAAAGCAGCAGGAAAGTGTCATGTGATGTATACTTAACCACCTCATATCCACCAACACAATCAATCCTATACACAAACATTTATTAAGATTAATAGTGCATTTAGATTTGTAGTCTGAATTGCCTGACTTGAAAATCAGGGGGTGGGGGGAGGAATTAGGGATTTAAATCAATACGAGAAGAATGGCATGTGACTTTCACATTCCCAACCTGACACCACCACCCCCAACTCATTCCTTCAATTATTCCAGTGGAACATACTGTTTCAACAACACATCTCCACTCTCTTCTATTCTCTGCTGTCCATAATCCCCCATCTCCTCCTCCCTCCAACTCACGCAATCTCTTCCATGTCACCACCACAGCACCGACCACCCAGTCGTCTTTTCTCACTGAGATTCCACTCGAGCAATGGCCTGTATTTGGTGGCATGTGATTCGTCGGCCTTCTTCCTCGGCATATGTCCAATCAATCTATCTCTATTTCCTCCTACATATTTGTTGAGCAATCGGTGGCTCTTAGTCGGTTCGCTCATTGCCAGTCGGAGATTCTTGTTGCTAAATGTTTCTAGCCGGTTGGCCATTTGACCTTGAGTATGCATCTGTTGATGAAACTCTTCAGTGACCTGATGGAAATGCTTTTCGTGACACAGGCACAGGTCATGATTCTGACCCATATAAAAGCACTAACTGACTAAAAATGCGAATCTTGTTGTTTATGCTAGCTGAGGCGGAGTAAAGCGGAAGATTTGCAAACTGGTTTCAGGCTGATAGATGCGTATTTCGCCTCTCTGATTCTGTCTGTCTGTCTATCTAGCTGTCTTTGACATGTTGATCCGTTCCGACTGCCTGTGGTTGAAACGATGCTGGCTCCTCAGGCTAGATGAGTGAAGACAGGTAGTAACCCCTGTCAACCTCTGTTTCCTGTTCATGGTGATTGTTGGTGCTGCTGGTTGTTGTTACCGTTTGTTGGTTGGTTGTCGGTGATTGGTTATCTTCATCACCTCCGTTTCCACCTTCTCTATGTTCATCACTTGGGTGAAGTCTGTCCTGTCCTCGCTGCCAGCTAGTCAGCTAGCCTCCTCAGTCAGTGTGTCGCCAGTTTTTATCCGCCTCCAAGCCTTCGAGTTTGTGCTTGTGTGACACACTGAACATAAAAAAACTAACTCCAGTAACAAGTAAATATTCTATGGTAATGACTATTTCAAATTCCAGTTGAACATGTACACCCGGTGTTTCGCCCATCACACAAATGATTTATGAGTGGAACGTTAATCCGTTACTGATTTCTTTAATACAAACAAACAATCACTAGTGTAACAAGAATAATTTCTTAATTATTGCAGATTACTAAGTGCCATTCCTAGATTTCGTTCCATAGACCTACTATGACCGAGAGACTGACTTCAGCATGGGACTTTCCACAGACATGAAGCAATTCAACTTGCAATTCAACTCCATGTACCACCATGCAATGGAAGAGATAAAAAATAGAGACAAAAAGAGATTCAAAAGAACTATTACAAACAGAAATGTCAAGGAGACAAAATAGTAACACAACGAGTCATTCGGACCCCGCGGATCTTGACCAGTTAGACCACTGTTACCTCTCCTATCTAATCTGATTCTATATTAGCTTACATATCCCGTCGACGAAGATCCTCTGGCCAGTGATGAGTAGGAGACAAGGCCTAGGCATCTCAATCCATGTAGATTCAGAACATCATCTAGTAAATTTCCCAGCTTACCTAGCACGCGAAGCCCAACCTCAATATTACTCATCCTATTTAAACGATCTAACAAAGGGAGATAGCACGCAGACACCTACAATCAAAGAAAGCTAAGATTTTTCATGCCTTGCACTTTCAGTGGCCAGGCCTCATCACAGCCAGCCAGCCAGATCATACAGGAGGACAGAGCAAAACTTCTAAGCAGTACTGCAGTACGTCCTTTGATTAATTGATAATCAGCCGGATATCACTTCTACTAAGCCAAACATGGTGCAAGTTAAGTTGACTGAAAAATGTCAAACAAGCCTTTTGTACCCGTACGAGGCTGAGATTTCGTCAGTGACCAACCCGCTGGCATTGGTTGGGTTGATGCAACTTTCCGAACAAGTGGAGTGGTCAACACGGTCAACCAGCCAGCCAGCCAGCCAGCACTTCAGTCCCGCCTACTTGTCTATCTTTAAGCTAGGACTGATTCGAAGTAGTCCAGTCCAGTCCTGTAGCCGCATCATCTTACATTTGACAGCAGCAGGAGCGAATCGCTCCCATAGTGCGAACATTCGGAGATGGCTGCTCAAGCTCAAGGTGTTCAGAATACTCTGCTCTATTCTGTCAGCATCTTCACCTAGGAGGGAGGACTATATCATCATTTGCATATTCTAAGTCAACGAGGCTATTATTCCCTGGTGAGAACAAGTCCTGCTGCTGCTGCTGCTGGATTCAACATAGAACTTGGCACCGAAGTGCAGCAGTTCGAGTTGCCACGTTCCAAATGAGAACAAGTCCATCCCTCAGTCGCTCAACTCAGTTAGGGTTAAGTCCATTAGCACGTGCATCTATGATGAAACTAAAGAGAAATGGCGACAGTCGGCATCCCTGACGGATGGACACCACTGACTGTCATCACAGATTTCAAATGACAACTCTCCGTAGGCTCTCACCTAGCTGGGTGACTGCATGAGTTCCAGTAGAGTGAGTGCCTTGATCAGTGAGATGTATTTTCCCACCATTCCCTTCATGACAGCCAAGCATCGCCAGAGTACCTCTCAGTCGACAGAATCGAATGCCGCTTTCACGTCAACAAATATGATGATTGTTTGACGCCAACGGTAAGTATGCCCATGTTCCGTTCCAGAATCTGTCGAAGGGTGAAGATATGATCAATACACTCTTCCTGGTCTGAAGCCTGTTTGCTTCTCTCGTCTTTCCTTCTTCTAACGGACTTGTTCAGACGGACCGCACACATACGACTATCCACTGGGATCCCGTCAAGAAGAGAGTTTTCTACACTAACACTCAGTGCTATCCCTACATCTGCACGTCCTCGTGGACTAGCTGAGGAATCTCCTGACACCGTTGAGGTGAATTTTGCACATCCACTTTCTTGGCTGGGTGGGGGGTTACGTGAATAACCACATTCGGGTCTTGTATGCGTGTCTCCGAAACACAACATACGTTCATGGCTTGAGAGATGCTAGAGTTCTGGCTAGTGATGCTTGTTGTCCTATTTGACAGACGGCCTTGACGTGAAATGCTTCACTATGAAGTTGGCGACATGGCTTTAAGAGGCTATTGGAGGTGCTTTTCCGGCCCTCATAGTTATTTTCGGTCACAGAATGAACTTAAGGTGACTACTGGCCAGCCGGCAGAATAGTACTCACAGTAGTAGGGAAGAAAGATAATGAGGATAACAGGGATAAAAGAGGATAATGATCAGAAGGGCTTCGTATGCTTTCAGAAGTGTATGGGTGGTAGTTACTTCCGGACTGAACACACCACCGTAGATGTTGATTTATTCTTGAGGTAGGTGTGGAACGGAAAGAGGTCGGCCACACACACGGTCTGTATGAAGTGGCTTTTCGGTTTGATACCCAATTAGTAACTTACCACCGACCACGTACCACTCACAGTAGGGTAAATCGAGATGTACAGCTTTTGAGGTCGATCTTTCTAAATCCATCAATCCAGAGCGGAGAGACAACACAGCTGGCTGGCATGTTGGTCATCTAAGGGAAACATCACCTTACTGCTGTTACATCCTTGTTCCCCACAGCAGTACGAATTTCGCCCAAAGACAGACCACCTACCAGCATAGTGTAAAAGGAAAAATCTTACACTAGGCAGATAACTGCTTTTAATCTAATAGCTATCCTAATAGTCTTCATGGCATGATAGAACCTACAGGGACATTTAGTTATAGCCAGTGTAGCTTGTTGTGGGTCATGGAGATATGCAAGCCCGGCGACCACCATGTCAAGGTGTGGTGAGAGCTGGCTGCTAGCCCAAAGTTGGTAGACAGTAATTGACGTCAATGTTGTTGATGTCCCAAATATTGGTGGTGGTGAGAAAATGAGAACAAAGGCTTTGCGTAGGCGAATGCAGTGAGCATATGGATGATCTGACACAGCCACAAAGAGATGCAAGGTTAACTTTCTGTGAGAAACAACCACCAATCAAAAGACTGTATTTTCTATTAACAATAATCTGCAATAATGTACATTAAAATCTATAAATATGTGTTGATTTTCCTTAATAAACGATCTGTTGCCTGGCCCGTGTCTTCTTTTGTTACAAAGGTAGCAGCTATCAGTCGGGACTCGACTCCCAAGTATAACATAGCCAACCAACACAAAACACTGTCAGCAAAACATGAACTTGAAGAGTTTTAAAATGGGAATAATTTCGAAATAACGACGGGAAAGCTGCTTACCTGGCCATTCATCTCCTTCAGTAACATCTGCATTCTTTAAAGCTTCATCAGTGTGCATAGACCAGTTGGCCTCATCAGCATCAATTCCCACTGGCTGTTTCATAGTTGACACTGATTCAACTCTTTCATTGAGTCTTCGTCTACGAAATTCAGTCGAGTCTAACAACCAAACACGATAATAATATCGTGACCAGAAATCAGCATCACTAATCGACTTATCATCAGTAATTTTACCATCTGGATGAACAAGTTGCGTTAAATATGTACGCATAAATGGATAAGTGTCTAACAATTCTGATGGACTAGGATGTGGTGGTTGAGTAAGCTCTTCAACTGGCAGATGACTGTATTCAGGATTTCTGGCATCAGCTAAAGGTATACCTTGCATTGGTTGACAATTGTCTTCATCAAAATATGCTGTCCTCCAATCTGCATAGGAGTGTATGTTTGAAGAGGCAGGTGGCAATGGTGGTTCTACTTCATAGGTGGCAGGATCTGCACGTAATACGTCAAGACGAGCCTGAAAATAAAGCGGAATGACAAACGTGAGTAAATCGAATTCAGAAGATTATAAAAAAAAGATCAACTACTCAAACAGTCATCCTAAATATATATATACACATATATATGTATATATATTATTTTCTTTAATTCCTAGAGGAACATACAGCTTCAGCCGCGCGTCTACACTGCGTTCGGTTCTCTGCTAGAGTCTTCACCTGGCTCCATGTCTGCCCACATGCTTTCATCTCCTCTTCACATCACCTCCTCCAAGTCACCCACCCACGCACTGACGACCATATATATATATATATATATATATATATATATATATATATATATATTAGCAGTGACACGGTTAAAACAATTACATATCTAAAGAGTGACTAGTCACGGTAAATTAGGCATAGTCAAGGGAAATTCAGTGTTGAAAAATTACCCATGAATTTGAATTCTCTAATTGGTGTTAGACATTATCTCACGCCTCTGATAGTGAAGCGAAGACAGGAGTAGTAAGATAAGGCCGATGACTATCTCCAACAGACAGACAGGAATACATTGCTCCAACCGATAAATAGACTCCAGAAGATCTGCATTTTGCATGCGGATGACTTATGGCATTGAATGTAACAGAAACACAAACTCGAAGACTTGCATGCAGGAGGCAGGCGAAAACTGCCAACAAACTGACTGAAGAGGCTGGCTGGCTGGCTAACTAGCTAGCTGGCAGAGAAAACATCACTGACTCCATCCAGGTGATGAAAATAGGGAAGGTGGAAACGGAGGTGATGAAGATAACCAATCACCGACAACCAACCAACAAACGGTAACAACAACCAGCAGCACCAACAATCACCATGAACAGGAAACAGAGGTTGACAGGGCTTACTACCTGTCTTCACTCATCTAGCCTGAGGAGCCAGCATCGTTTCAACCACAGGCAGTCGGAACGGATCAACATGTCAAAGACAGCTAGATAGACAGACAGACAGAATCCGAGAGGCGAAATACGCATCTATCAGCCTGAAACCAGTTTGCAAATCTTCCGCTTTACTCCGCCTCAGCTAGCATAAATAACAAGATTCGCATTGTCAACACAAATGTCAGTGAAGTCAGTTAGTGCTGGTTGGTAATGACCGAACCAACCAAACAACGAAGAGCCGCCGATTACTCAACAAGTATCTCGGGGAGAAAATGCAGATGGATTGATCTGGCATTCAACGTTGAGGATACAGGTTGTCGAACAGTATCGAGGACAATGCCGACCATTGATCGAGTGCAATGCGAAGGGGAAACGACGGATGATTGGGTCGTCAGTGCTATTCTGGCATGGAGTAGATGAGAGATTAAGGGGCAATCATAGGGCAAGCCAGCTGAAGAGGAGAGCAGGGAATAGAAGAGAGAGTGGAGTTGTGTTCTGTTATTGCAGTCAGTCATACGTTCTACTCGGAACCAAAGGGAACAATAATATTAATAATATATTAAATTGGAAAAGCAGCAGGACCAGATGGAATCCCAGCAGAAGCATTGAAAATGGACCCAGAGACAACAGCCGACTTGATGACGCCACTACTGGAGAAGGTGTGGAAAGAAGGCAAAGTACCCGAAGATTGGAAGAAAGGATACTTATTCAAACTACCAAAGAAAGGAGACTTAAGTCAATGCAAGAACTGGCGCGGAATTATGCTCCTGTCCATCCCAAGCTAAATACTAAGCCGCATCATCCTGGAAAGAATCAAACATGCCAACCTGGATGAAAAACTTCGACTGGAACAGGCTGGATTCAGAAGGAACAAGCCATGCATTGATCAGATCCTCAGATTACGGATCATCATTTAACAAAGCTTGGAATGGCAGTCACCTCTCTAACTCAACTTCATCGACTTTGGAAAGGCCTTTGACAGCGTCGATCGAGAGGTGATTTGGAAACTACTACGCTACAATGGAGTGCCACCGACAATTATACATCTCATCCAACAGCTGTACGACAATGCTGCATGCCAAGTAATCCACAACGGGAAACTTACGGAATCCTTCTAAGAAGTGAGGACAGGAGTAAGACAAGGCTGCCTACTATCGCCAATGATTTTCCTGATTGCAGTAGATTGGATAATGCGACAGACAGTGGGCAACGAGGAAACAGGCATAAAATGGACCCTCACGAAAAACTTGGAGGATCTGGACTTCGCCGATGATTTTTGTCTGATTTCCCACAAATTGGAAGATATGCAAGCGAAAAGAAACAACTTGTCAGAAGAGGCATCAAAGATAGGACTTCAGGTGAACATAGAGAAGACAGAAGTGATGAAGATTCCTGGCCAACACCACCGACAGCAACAGGCAACAATCAGCCAGCATAAATGGGAGGAACTTGAAAGAAACAACCTCCTTTAACTACCGACCTACCTGGAAAGCATCGTTTCAACTACAGGCCGACGGAACTGACGAGGATATCAAAGCAGTGAGGATCGGGAAAACAAGACAAGCTTTCACTACTCTCAAGTCTGTGTGGAGGTCAACAGCACTACTCAGCATGAAAATGAAAACAAGATCAGGATTTTCAACTCCAATGTGAAGTCAGTCAGTGCTACTCACTATAAGGATCAGAGACTTGCACTGTGCGTCATAAAGAGCACCTCAAACAAACTACAGACCTTCATTAACAGTTGTCTTCGCTCAATACTCCGCTCAAGATCAGATGGCCAGCCAGAAAAGATCAGCAACAGCCATCTCTAGCGATGAGCGAACCAACACAGCAGAAACCAATTGTGCAACAAATAAGCAGGAAGAAATGGAGGTGGATTGGATTGGCCATACTCTGAGGAAACCATCAAGTGAGTGACATCACTAGACAAGCCATTGCTCGAGTGGAACCCGATCGAAAGGGAAGCGGCGAGTTGTTCGTGAGTGCGAGGGTGGGTGGGTGACTTGGAGAAGGTGATGTAAAGAGGAGATGATGAAAGCATGTGGGCAGACCTGTAGCCAGGTGAACACTCTAGCAGAGAACCGAACGCAATGGAGACGCACGGCTGAATCCGTATGTTCCTCTAGGTATTAAAGGATACAATAATAATAATAATAACGTATTAATTATTGGATGGTGGAGACTTGTAGAAAAATCATATGACAGCAATTATAGCTGCTCAATATACTATCAAAACTATTGGTATAACTAAAGTGCTTTATAAGCATCAATCCACTTACTCTATCTATCACTTAGGCTTTAAAAGCTTTTGAAAGGCATAAACATATAGAGAGATAGATAGATAGATATCTCATGTAAACAAAAAGAGAAAAACTGCATAAAATCAATGTTTATATATATATATATTTGCAAATTTCAATATATAGACAACAATAACCACGAGAACAACAGCTAATCGAACCTAGTACTAGTAATATATATATCTAATGTAGATGTGTACTGTAATTAATTCACTAATGAACAATTGATTATTATCTGTTTCACTTAAAACGTTATTATTACACTAAAAATAAGCGCATTGTTATCACTATTATTATTATTATGTCACAGTGGTGAAACACACACACTGATCATTATGTAAAAAATATTACTATACCAGTTGGTAAGCTAAAATACCCAACCGCGAAATAAAGAAGTAATAAAGAGTAATTTCATAAAGAAACATATGAAAACATCGGAGAAAAAACCGGAGACTCTGACGGCACGTAAGAAACCTCTATTTATTAAGTTACAATTTAATGGTGACTTATCAAGTGAGATTCTATTCCAACGACTTTCAAGGAGTTTACGAAGAACATTTTACGCAGCACACCTATGTTTGTCATTCTCTAGCCGACGAATGATTGGGACGCAAACGAAGGATAAGCTTGATAGTTTTGCCACATCTATGTGCATTTATCAATTCAACTGCACCTGCGGTGACAGTTATATTGGGCGTACTACTAGACAGCTTAGCCAACGTGTTAGGGAGCATCTCCCATCGTGGTTTGGCAAAGGACAGACAAAAACAATTCGTAGCTCAATTTTGTCACACTTAATTGATAGTGGTCATGTAATCGAGAAAACGAGAGCTTTCAAAGTGATTCATCGTATCCCACCGAATCTTTCCAATAGACTTCGTATTCGTCTACTGCACACAGCTGAGGCAATAGGCATTCGAACTATTAAACCTAAATTATGTATTCAAAAACAGTTCGTACAGCCTTTATCCCTCCCTTGGCCTATTAGGACGTAACCAACTAATAACTTCTACACCACCCTTTGTTTGTATTTTCATCCCCTTTCTTATCATCCCTTAATCTTATCTTCATTATAAACGTGTTTCATTTCCTTCCCTTACAATCTAACATTACTTAATCGGTTCATTTGTTTTTACTAGCCTTTATCGACTACTTCCACCTGAACAGTTGTTTGTTTAATCATGCTGTTTTTCATTATTCGTGTTATCACAGATTGCCTCACTTTTTCATCCTTATTATTGATAAGACCATTTCTATTATTACTATAATTATTATTATCATTACTACTATTATGACTAATTGCACAATTTATATTCACCATCGTATTATCCTATAGACAAAACACCATGATTGGTTTATATTTGAATTTTATTTGTAAACTTATATATATTAGAGTTAAGCCTGATGAGATCTAATTGAAAACAATATTGTTCGCTTAAATGTGTTGTTCTAAGTTTTACTATGGGAATATTGAATATATTGAAATAAAGAAGCGTTGACTTTTCGTTACATCTCGCCAATATAACGGATTATCTTAAGTTCTGTCTCGATATATCATTATTATTATTGTTCCCTTGGGTTCCTAGTGGAACATAGGGCTTCAACTGCACGCCTCCACTTGCTTCTGTCTTCTGCTGTACTTTTCATTTGCATCCATGTTAGTCCACACTGTGTCAACTCTTCTTCACACCATCTCCTCCATGTCAACCTTTGAGACACGACCCACTCGCCGCTTCCATTTCGGGTTCCACTCGAGCGATGGCCTGACGCGCGATGTCACCCAGCGAGTGGCCT